TTTGAGAACTACGTGACTTCAACTGTCATACTTTCCTGATATGACAGTTGAAGTCACGTAGTTCTCAAATCCATAAATAATTATTTCAATGACCAATTATTCAGAGAAAATGGCAGCTACTCAAAATTCAAGTTTGAAAATCTGGCCACTGCTTCACCACCCTCTTGTTTGTTATAACATAACAGGAACAAGAATTGTTTCAGAAAATTGAAGATGAGTGACTGGTAAAAAACAGAGCAAGAACTGATTAATCATACAAATTCCAGATTTGCAAAACTTCACAGCTGCCAGTGAGACGATTGTCCTGCAACCACCAATAACCCGACCTTAATCAAATTCACAAAAACCAACCCTGTGCATACAATCTGGCATGCTGCGTAGAATTAGAAAATGCTAGTATATTAAAGTATTAAATTGGCGAAGTCAAGAGATTCAGCAAAGCAGTCCCCAACAAGTCGATCAATATTCAGAAGTCTCATCAAAGATTCCATCCTAGCGCCAACGAGCAAAGAATGTTCCCTTGTCTAAAATACTAATTCTAATTAAAAATGCATTTGTTAAAGTACTACAAATAACCCTTCGTGTCACGGTAACTACCACCCTTCACCGATCTGTCAAAAAATTCGAGTAACAGTTCTACGCCCCTAAATAAGCCACACAACAGTTTTAAGACCAAGAAAGCAGATGACTAACAAATAACCTCTAACTCCAATCCGCTGTAACGACCGGTCGACGACCACCCAAACTAGTTCCAAACCTGCTGTCAAAGTAAACAAATTCCAATGTAACCTCAAAAATACCACTACCAGTCTAAACAACCTGACCGCCCAATTACCCAGGAACACTTTTGAGATTTACCCTATGAGGAGCAGAAAATTTAGAAACCCCAATCCCTGACCCTCTATATGAGGTATCATGCTTCCTCCGTCTAACGCAACTCTCACGTGAAGTGAACAACTCCAGCAACTTCCAAAACCAGATATTTTAAGAGCTATCGCTAGACTTAACATTCCAAGCTGAATAAGCTTCCTGAGAAACATCAATAACTAGCTCTCAAAAGCAACCAAAAAACGTTGAAAGCAGAGATTTACTTGGCAAACTTTTAATAAATACATATCAGAACGACCACAACCTTCCAAACGATCAAGAGAGGAACGAACATTCACTGCCACTTGGAGATCAATGAAAAAACAAAGAAAACAGTGTTTTCTGCCGCAAGAAAAACGCAAAAGCAGACTCATAATCGACGATAGTCGACATACTCAAGCTTCAAAATACAAAGAAATCTCAGTTCTCCAGATAATGATCTCAACAGAAAAACCAGTACGTCATCTATACAAATACAGAGGAATATGGAATCATCGTACACGGTAAAGCATTTTTCTTTGCATCCGGTACTGTAACTCCCCTTTACGTATACACGATTGTATAACCTGCAACCAAAAAACAGAAAAAATGAGCTTTAATTATAGTATTATAGCAGATTTTTAACACCAAAATACGACAAGTGAAAACCCAGAAAACATTTAAAAAAGCAGATCTCACTTTTCTGATTATCAATTCTGGATAATTCTGCTGAAGGAAGTCCTGGATGACCAAATATTCAGAGACGTGGTTTCCCAAAGCTAGACGTTTTTTAAGTTGCTTTTCGACACGAATTGCCATTTCTTGATCTACGGGGCTTGTAAAGCCCTCAACACCTAAAAACAATAGACGGTACTGGATACAAAACAAATCAAGATAGAAGAAAGAAGCAAAATACCAATAAGATGTCCGCCCTCAGCTGCTTTGACAGTAGAGACCCTAAAAAGACGCAGAGCCTCATCAACATGTTTCTCGTTTGCAAATGGAAGGAGCTCCATTTTGGCAAGAGCTTCACTTATCCTGATAATTGCCTCCAACTGGCGTACCGTAATCGAGATTGCAGCATTGTTACCTAATTTATAAACGTATTTAAAACTCTTGTAAAGGCTTCACAAAGCAACTAATAATGTACACTCGTTAACCTGCTGTCTCATTCTCAGAAGCCGCAACCGGATTCCGCAGACGAACGTAATGATTAACTAACTTCTTGCTGGCAGGTTCAGATATACGCGGGCCGCAGTTGTTGCGGCAGAACCAAATGTACCTAAAAGAATAATTTACCAAGAAAACCTTCCACAACAACATCATACTCAGTTACAAGAACAACTAAAGAAACACACTTTTTGAGAAATTCAACGCTTAATTCCCCTTCAGCGGGTTTTCCGTGTTCCTCGGTCACAGAACCATAACTATGAACGGAAAGAACGTGTTTAGCCAAAGCCTATAAAGAAACAATTGAGGAATTTCATAACCCAAACCCCTTGCGCAAAAAACCTTCGTCTGCTAAAAATTATGCCCTACTTACAGAGTCTTTAGCAGCATCGAAAGCGTCCTTCACAATAAATATCATGTCAAAACGGGATAAAATCGTTGGCATAAAATCAATGTTCTCATCGCCTTTTCCTTCATCCCATCTTCCATATACAGAGTTCGCGGCTGCAACAACAGAACACCGGGAATTCAATGTTGTAGTTATCCCAGCCTAAATAACAGAAAGTTCAATAAAAATTATGCAAAACAGAAAATTCTAAAATATGCAGGCCCAGACACAATAAAGGAATTTTACCTTGGCAATAGAAATTGTCTGCTGTTCCATAGCTTCATGAATAGCAACCCTATCATCTTCTTTCATTTTATCAAACTCATCAATACCAACTACACCGCCATCTGCCAAAACCATGGCGCCACCTTCCAAATAGAAAGACCGCTGAATTTAATAAGTCCATGAAATATAACAATATAAAAATTACAAAGAAAATCAATTCCCATTCTCGACCTATCAAGACATGCCATAGCAGTTGAAGCAAAAATGTAGCCTGGTTTTTATTCATGCAATTTGGTAACAATAAAGTGATGAGAAAAGTCTAGAACTTTACAAACGTACAGACTGCGGATCGCGACTTATAGATGCTGTGAGCCCTGCGGCGCTGCTTCCTTTTCCAGAAGTATATACACCAATTGGAGCTACCTAAATTCATGTGACCAAGTGACATTTCAGTATCTGAGATTCATTGAAAAAAACGTACGCAAAAAACTCACATTAATTCTCCCCCAAACAAAAGTTGAAAATGCTGTTTCAGAAAATCTTCTCAATGGTCCTTTTACCCTGCCTTTTAAGAGAATTATAAAGTAAAAGCGAGTCAAGAAAGGATAACGGTGGAAGCGCAAACAAAAAGTAAACCAAGGAAAATAAAAAGACACAAACCTTTTCAATAAATTTCAATAACTGACTTTTGGCAGTCCCGGGATCACCTAACAAAAGCACATTAATATCGCCTCGACGCGTCAGCCCATCAGGAGTTCTTAAACAACAAACTTATCTCTTAAAAAAATTATGCTTTCTGCAGCACAGTTTATCTTAATAAAAGTCGAAGAAACCAGGTTTACACACAAAAAAACTGACTGTTTTCGAGACCCGCCAAACAGAAGACAAACAATTGCTTTTTTGATGTCTTCAGAACCGTAAATAAAAGGTGCTATGCTTCTTGTTATAACTTCGTATACATCTGGCCTCTTTGCCAGCTCTCTAGAAAATTTCCAGATTAAAAAATCGCAAAACAAAAAAATCAAGCCAAAGAAAAAGCAGGGATTTTCAATGTTGAAAGCATTAAAATAACCTACTGAAACTGCCGCTCTTCCTCAGGTGTCCAAGAGAGTCTGTCAACACGTCCACCACCAGAAGTCTGGACTTGTATTCCTAATACCCTTATATACGGCGCTCGAGTTCCAGAAAAGCTTTTGTCAGTATTTTTCTGTAATACGGAAATAATCAAAATAATCAAAAACTATTCATTAACATAACTAAGACATTGAGCTGATGCAGAATTGTATAAAATAACAATTACCTGTTTTTGCAACTTCTTTATTGACAAGACACCAACAACAGTTACTTGATTCCCTGGAACTACTGCATCAACCAGGTATCTGGAAAAACCCTTCACAAGTAGACCATAAACAACCAGAGCAAACTGGAGTATGAATCTACCTTTCGCAGTAAAGCTGTATATGACGCGGCATTTCTCCATGAGGAACATTTTCTGGGTTTTCTTGCAGCTTTAATGTTTGAACGTCAATACAACGGCATTTATCAGGCATTATGTAGTATGGATCCAAAGGACACCTTTTTAGCTGTCCTGTTTGATCTCTGTAAAAATCCGCCAGTCAAAAATATAATACCGACCCCAGCCGGTAGACTAATAAAAGAATACTCAGGCAAGTGAAACTACTCACGCTCCACACTTTCTTGGCAGTGCAAAACCATCAAGCCCCGGCTTCAATTCCACGCTGTTCACCGTATGACGACAACTTCTACACTGCAGAGAAACTCTTGTACACTTTGAACGAACTTGGCCAGCAGCTACCACTACTCCAGAAATCTTTACCAACTGTGAAACTTGTGTAGCCTTCAAAAACAAAAATCAAAAAACCGTTTAAGCAAACTACGAGTACCTTAATTTATTTCAAGAAGAACCTTAAGTTTTCTGACAGTTGTCGGGAGGTCACCAAGCGATAACGTAACCTGAACACTTTCTATTTCCCTTTCTTCCTCAGATGCAGGCTGAGCTACCTCGATCGCCACCAGTTTAGCTGCTTCTTCAAGCTAAAACAAATTCAACCAGTTCAGCAGGATGAAGAGAAAACGTGCTACATAACGTACCAGAATCTTACTGGTGACCAAACTCAGTGGAGGACAATATAAAAACAAGCAACAAGAAGAGAAACCGATAACTGGTCAAAAAATAAAACCAAATAAGTTTCCACCACTTATTAAAGTAACGAAAAAAAAACGAACCCGCCAATTTTCCACGAGAAAATGCAAAGCAGAATTCTTACCGCGGATAAATAACGTGTTGGATTCTGCTTCAGTTTAGTGCCTGACTCTTCATCAAACATCATAATATGATCTAGCGATACTTCTAGATGACACCTTCCCAACCCACAATTTCGCTTCAGCTGGTCTCTGCAAAACAGATGGATAATGACTTGACAGCTAATTTGACTCTTCGCCTGAGATCTAAAAACAAAAAAAATCCACCTGTAAATCATTCCAAAGCCACCAACAGTGAATTCTCGAAGGAACTTCCGAAATTTCTGCATAAGTTGACGGTACTCAGCAATAAGTCCTTGATTTTCATCAGGAATGTCATCGTTTGCAAAGAAACGCTCCTAGGAAAGAAATAGTAAAAACTTACGTAATTAGTGACCTCATTTTAAGAAACAGCTGCATAACTACAACCCCGGAATTTAATAGTAGAAAAACCATCGTGAATCATTCTTCAACCTCTATAATTCATCATTTACCGTGATACCAAAGAAATGTCTAAGCTAAAAACTAACCTGATAAAAAAGGCCCGGATTATCGAAACTGGTCATCTTCAAAAAATTATAGTTGAAAAGCAACCAAATACCTTAAAGAAGATTGTTCAGCTACCATTCCACAAACGTCACTGCTTATTTAAGGTCGTTTCAAAGCTAATGAATCAGTAAAAACGTCAAATAAAGAAATAAAGAGCAAAGTTTTTCAGTCAAACAGAACTAATAAAACGCATATTTTTATGCCGTATGGAAGCTGTTAACAAATAAAGAAAAAGGACAAAATGAGCAAATGAAATTAGCACAACAAACTGGCTGAGAAATATGCAGTATCCCAGAAAAGTTGCTATACATCAAAAATTCTTAATATCATAGTATGAAAATCGTCAATCGCCAACCTTTCAAATCGTCCGCTAAGGCGCCAAATTATCGCGCCTTTTTTGTGAGCGAAAATCACAGCGCCGACAAAAAGTGGTTTGGCATTGGCGCATCGACCTCTGACAGTTATTGTATGATGGTTGCTACACAGTTCGATGTAAAACGTCATTTCAAGCGGCATCTGCTGGTTAACTCTTGGAAGGTGCTACGATGAAAAAAGGTGGGTGTTGGAACGTTCTCCAGTTCAGTTTGCGGCTGTTTTTCAGAAATATTTCGATTTTACAAGGGCAGCTCTATCTCCTGAATTCCTTTGTTACACAGCAGTGTCTCTATGCTTCTTCAGCATTACTCATCCTTGTCATCAACAGATTCCTCTAAGAATTTCCCAGAAAATGCCGTTATGAATGAATGGATGCTTAGCAGCTGAGAGCAGATACCACGCGTGTTTAATCAGATTAAAAAATTCAGTAGGAATTGCGATCACGCTGATCCAGTAGTACACTTTACCCAATGTTTGATGTTTTCGATAAAAGCAGTTACCTTTTCTAAGAAATTTGGAACGTTATTCGCCTCATTCTCAGTGACTGTCGGTATCACCATTTATGCGAAACAGGAAATATATTCATTTACAAGAATTTAAACTTGAAAATTTATCCACTTTATCACCGCATCAACTAAAAAGCAACGTTGCTTTTTGGGAGAAATACTTTAAATTAAAGAAATAGGCAGTTGAGAATTGTTGTATTCAAGAACTGCTGCTGAGAGGAGTAGAAAGATGTTGTGGCTGGGATATACAAAGATGGGAACGTATGAGGTGGCAAATATATGGCCTTGAAATCCCTAAAAATAAGTGCCACTGAATCAATTCGTTGCTGAAAACATTTGTCCTATTTCTGACATCTCTTTAAGCTGGTTAAGCAGTTGGGAAATGGCGTCGGTGAGTAATGCTGTTTAAGATGTTGATTGTTTCAATAGCTTACTTCCTGATTTATCACTTTCGACTTATTCTTATACTGTACTGAGAAGACTTTGGAGCAGCGAATACATAGTTGAATTAAAGCAGCTTGAGAGAAGCTGTTATTCGAAAAAGATGTGGTACAGATCTAGCTTTTAGATTTACAGATTACGAATGTCGAACAGTGACGTTTCTTACCAGATCATTTTCATCACTAACTGTCATTGTATGCAGCGTTAAAGGAGTTTGTTTTTATTCAATTAAACTGCTTACTTTTATTTCAAAAGTCAATCACACGTCAGTGCTCAATTGCACAGATGAATCATATTTTTACCAATAACGTAGGAATTGAATATGCTTAACTGTCACAGCAAACTTAGCAGTTAAGGTCAGAACCACCGGTAAATGAAGAGAAAGATGAGCTCTGACCATAGAAATATTTGCCACAAAAACTAAAGTGTAAAAAAAATTACTTTTTTGCAATAAAAAAAAATTACATTTTTGGAAGTCATTAAGTAAAGTACAGCTCTATTGTTCAAGCACTTCAATTCTTTTTCGGGAAAGAGAGGAGAGGGGATACCGACAACAGTTGTCTTCTGTTATGGCTAAAATAAAAGCTGTTTATTTATTTACACCACCACATTATAAATGCAATTAAAATTGTTGAGATGAAAAAAATCCTGGACTGTTAAAGATGATTTCATTTCTTCGTAGTGAAAACGTTGGCAGATTTTGAAAGAATGGACACTTTACTGTACTTAGACGCGCCGGCTTATAGTTTTAGGTAATTTTAAAAGTAATTCTCCACAAAAAATCTAACTGAGAACTGGGAGATTACCATATTTCATGCTGACAGAATTCCTCTCTCCTTGAAGACTGAAAGAAAGTGAACCTTTTAAGACGGGAATAGTAGACTGAGAAAAATGAGAAGGCAGAATAATCCAGGGGTAATAAATCTGTCAGTTTTCGTCTAGCTGTCACCTGACTCTAAATAGTAGAAACATCAGCAGAATACTACGCATTCACAGAGGTAAAAATAAGCAATTTTTTGACTTTCTTGCTCATTTGTTATTATCTATTGAAACAGGAAAAAAATAATTAATTCTTTAAAATTTCTTTTTTTCTTTTTTAGAATACTAAATTCAGTTATGATTATTACAGCAAAATCAAATATCACTTATTTGAATTGCTGCGTTATGGACACAAATAGAACTGTCTCGATGAAAGAAATCTCTAAATTGTAAAAAAGGAATTTACTTTACAGTAGTAAACTCTACTTGGTACTGTTTCTGTTTTCTGAGTACTGCTATGTCCCTTCGTATATCAAGTCTCAAACTTCTTAAAAATATCGTGGCAATGCTGCAAAAGCACTTTACAGTTCCGTATTTCCCTAATATCTAAATTTATGACCGATTAGTTTTGGATAGGATTTTTTTTTTGGCGTTTTATATACGCGGTGTCTATGTATAGGAGGAAAAAAACAAAAAAGTTATGTTTAATCATTGATTTCAACCCGTTGTCTAATGTGCCTAAAAGTTATGCATTGCTGAAAAATTAAACAATTATTAAGCCTAAGAGATAGCATTTTATTTTAGCTCTTCTGCTACACACTTGTCCACTTAAATTTTAAAGAACAGTAAACTTTAAACGGACGCTTCTATCGCAGCAAAAATTTTTTTGAAAATTGGAGGCGACATCTACATTTTTTTTCTACACACTCTTTTCCCAGCAAGAAAACTATATCGTTATTCAACTTTCCAGGCTTTTTACATTGCGATTTTTTCGCAGAAAATGTAAAATGTCATGGATAATTAATTTATGAATATTCCAACATTGGCCGTTCCAACTCTAGCAGTTCTTCGTAAGATATGTCCACAGTAGTCTCAAAATTTTACTCACTTTGAGGCATTGACAAAACGTAAGTGCATTTTTTTTTCACAATTTTTAAAATAGATAAAATTTGTTTTTTTTTTTTTTAAAAAAAAGCTGATTTCACACGCTGTAATAGTTTTATTATATATTGAAAGTTGTTTCTAGGTCTTCATCCTTTACTTCGTACTTGAGTTCCACAGAAAAAGTTCATTAAAATGAACCGCTAGAGTAGCCGGTAAGAAAAAATTTGAATGTATGAACAATTATAAATAAAGTTGAACTTCTACACGGAAATCAGAAAAATAAGGGAACATAATTTTTTCTATCAAAAACCAAAGGTTTCATAGAGTTTAGAAATTCAATTTTTTTCTCTGCCTTTTTTTACTTATTCATTGAGAATACTGATAACACAATTTTTAGAAATTACCACCTCAGTAACGCCCAAATCGTAAATAATTAGTTTGACTACCACAGTCTAATGTCTCGCGATAACAGTTTTGTCCCATTACGTCGATTTAAAACTCATTCCTTTGCATATTCTTTTCTCCGTCTCTGTTACACCCATTGCCAACAAACAGTATCGCACTGCAGCTTGGGCCTTCCGTAACTTGTTGTCCTTTCTACAATCTTCTCATCCAGGACATTATCGAAATTCCTGCTGTTTTTAGGTTCCATACCTAAAGAACCACTTCCCAAAATGTCACCTGCGGAAGACACTATTAGCCTAAGTAGAACCCTAGAACCGAAAACGTAATGAATAAGTTTTAACCTACATAGACTGAAAAAGAGAACTAAAAACTTAATAGATCTTTAAAATAATTAAAACTTCGCTTTAATAATCTCAATGAATTCACTACTTGGTAAAAGACAATTGTTAGATTACTTCTGTTTACGCCAGCTTAGAAACCTTGCTTGAAATTTTTAGGCGCACTTATTACATTACAATAAATGAAAATTGCTATCTTCAGTCTTTTTAATCGCATCAATGTAAAGCATCAAAATTACCAATTTTGTTTTTACCCTAAACAGTCTTCAGAATTGAATACTAACAAAAGTTGAACGTCTTTTCTTCCGTCTAATAAACAGAAGTTCTTTCATTTCCAATTATTCTCTTACAATAAATTCAATTTGACCTATTTCTTTTACTAGAAAATAACTGTCATATCTTTTTAGGGAAAAATCGAAGCCGTCGTACGAAATGATACCATCACTAGTCCTCCTGATTTTATCAATAGTAGTTACGGTATTATCTGGAGTGCTGCTCAACAAGTATATTTAAAGATTTTCGTATCGATTCCAAAAAATTCGACAAAAAATAATCTGAATGTTTCATAGCATATCTATTACAATTTATTTCCATTCCTCCTACTGTAAATAAAAAGTTGTTTAAGATGTTGTTTTCGTTGTCGTTTTCTTTTCAAGAGCTGCAAGTAAAATCCTTATTAAAAAAGGGGCTTACAAATCTTACCTATCATTAACATATTTTACGGAAGAAAGCGACGTCGGAGCAAGAGAAGCATGGATGTAGGGAGATATTTTGAAGCACTATCCTGCAAAACTGTTTATTGTTAGTTAGCTTACTGCAGAAAACGATAAAGTGTAAACATATCTTAGCATTAGAGAATTCTTGGCAGCAGAGTTGGTTCCTTAAGAAGAAAGGAAGCAGTTGCTCAGCTCTTTGCACGAAAAAGTGGTTCTGTTTTTCAACTAATTACTCTCCGTTGTAGAAATTGCTTCTCTTTTTTTCAAAACCTCATTGTCCAGAACAATCAAGTAGCAACAGGGATGTAGCTAGCGAGTGGTTAGAACGGTACCAGACTATTGGAAGGTAAAGAAGGCTAAGAACAGGAATATGGAAGTATGTATGGTTTTCTTTCATGTTCAAAAGTTTGATTTGATGAAAAGCTACTAAACTCTTGAAATGCAATTTCGCGACAAACATTAAAGAGCTTCCCTGAAGAATATTCAATAGTCTTTAGCTTTTTTAACGTAAAACTATTTTTTTCTTGCTTTTTAACAAAACTGCTGTCTCATTACCCTCTCTTAAGTAAATCAGCTCATTTCACTGTCTTTTTTGCTTTTTGCTTCACCTTCGTAAAATGCCTTCAGCATTCCACCACTGCATCCAATCTAATCTTGACAGTACGTCCTCGGGTTCTGTTTTGTCAAATTTTTTTAGCCAGAAGAATAGCCAAAAAGAATTTTTCATCCTACTTTTTGATCTTAGTCGCTCAGCACGAGTTTTAAACTTAGTTTTGAATGCTGTAAGACGTTTTGAAAATGCTGTGACGAAAGCAAATGGGAGAGTCCCTATGGTTTTCTTTCGGGTCAAAACTTTAATGACTGTAATGACAGTAATGGTGAGAGTAATAAAAATAAGTAACAACAATTATAATAATAATGATAATAATATTAACAATGACAACATTAATGATAGCAACAATAATAAAAAGCAGGCAGATCATGTGAGAAATAGAGATTTGAAACTTGTGGTGGCAAATGCTCCACCCAATGCGAACCATTTCAAGTGAGAATTAGGAACCCGACTTTGAAAACAGCCAAAGATGAACCCACTATGAAGACAGACACAAGACAAGTAGCTCCTACCCTTCGTGAACAAAGGATGCAGTTCAAGTATGCCCTAATTATTAATTTATCTCTAGCCAAATCAAAAAGTGCACTTTCCCCTGACTGTTTGAAGTAATAGTCCAGCAGTCTGTAAGCAATGCTGCCACAACTCGCATTCCCGTCATCAACGCTCCCAAGAATTTCTGCGGTGACCCAGAACTTAAGCTGTAAACTGAAACTACTACAGCTCTTCTGATTTCCTTAACTGCTGCATGCCCTTAGATACTTCTCAGTTTGTTCCAAAAGCAACAGATAAAAAGTTTATGACAAGCTACACACATTGTTAAGACCTTTTGTACCTTTATAACGTTAAAACACCTTGAACGCGAAAAATACAGCAGGACAATGAAATTGTGAATCAGATCATAATGTTTGGAAGTGCTGCCTGTACTGCACATATGCCACTGAAATGACTTGACACCTGCTAAATATAAAACTTTAATTCTATACATGCAATACATAAAACAAAGGGTCCTTGTTATTGTTGTTTATGAGTAATAATCAACTTTCAAAAAGCAGCAACGAAAAAGCAATCTGGAAATCAAAAGGAGCGTGCAGTGGTTGAACGGGGCGTTCCGCAGAGCTCCAAACGCCTCTGTCACGCTCACCAATTTAAAAGTCGAATGAGGCTAGAGTAAAGTCATCCACACGGTCTTTCTTCTGCCAAACACCAAAGCCACAGTCTCTTAGCTGGTTATAAAACGCCGTCACAGCGCATTTGTAAATTATCGCTGCTTGCTTTGCTTGGGCGCAGGACCAGTCCAGCCTTTCTTTGTTTGACCCTACTGCCGTTAAAAGACGACTCCAGCTTTCAAATAAGCCACGTTTACTTAAGCGTGAAGGATCACCAGCAACAGTCTTGCCAGTGGCCAAATCTAGCCGTTCGACGGTCCCTGAAGGAAATTACCTTTACCGAAAGTGTAGAGGATTAAAAAATCACCTTGTTTAATAAAAATACCAGTGCGTTCCTAAAGCTTAAATTCTAATAACCTGTCAAAAGCATACTTTGGTTCCGTATGTTTCTCCAACTTCCAGCTTTTCAGCCGTGCTTCTAATGCCTCAAAAATTTTCTTTTTGTCTTTTTTGTTTTGTTTCTGATTTTACTACACCCGCTTCTTCGCTGTTACAAAAGTCCCTCCCGGCGAAATAAACAAAAAACCACGGGACAAACGTGAAAAAAAACAAAAAGAAAACCACTAAGTGGTAACCAATTTTCGCTGCAGCGATTGCTCAACCAAAACTCGATCTCCTCTTAAAAGAAATGTTCAGATTAATTACTAAAACAGAAAATGACTCACCAATCTCTGCAACCCAATTAAGATAAATTTCCCCTTGAGGACGAATAGCTGAACGACTCGATTTCACTATGAAATCACTTTTAAATCCATTCTGAAGACGCGTTAAGACTGAAGTGGCAATCACTCGATCATCAGACGCAACACCAATGAAGTAATGCGATATGAAAATTGGTTCAACTAAGTGAAACAACAGTGCTCCTTGCACGCCTAAAATAAAATAATTTGGGTTGAATATATGCTTTCCCTTTCATTTTCTTTGGTACGCAATAAGGTTTTAAACAGCAAACTTACCTAGTCACATTTTTACAGCTAGAATTTAGTCGATTGTGCTTGAGGATCTTGAATTCACCAACTCACAAATGAAAAGCGAGGATTAACGACGTCCAAAAAAAAAAACTTGCCACTGAAGCAAAACAAATAAAGAATGAAAAATAAACATACCCACATGATTCCATTTCAATATTTTATCTGCTACGCTCATCACATTAACGCGCCCACTGGAAGTGATTTCTTCGAAACTCTGAACTGTTCTAGGAGTTGGACACAAAATATTTGAGTTCCCAAAATAACAACACAACCTCTGAGGTTCAGATGCTGTATAAGCAACGTCCGGGGGAAACGCAGTGTACAACACTACCTTGTAGCCAGCCTAAACAAGGTTTTAATACTGTGTCAAGCCTTCTCTAATTACAAGAGCCACAAAGTAGCTTATGTCCGACAAACTAAAAAATAAAACTCAAATTTCTCGGGAAAAATTGCATATAACCAAGATAACTACCACTGCTTGTAAATAAAAAGTCCAAATTAAACGACCTTCAGTTGGTATCTCCCGTATTCATTCTTTTCCAAGATAGAATCAGCCGTCCCACACTTCTCCAACTGTTTGTGCAGATACAATAAGAATGCTCGTCTAGCTAATACAGCACCTGTAGTGTAAACATTGGTAAGCGACCCCATCAACGACAAAAGCAGAACAACCAAGCTAATATTTTTATTAGTAAAACTAACACTAAAGTAAAAACTAACACTAAAAGTAAAACTAACACTGCATGTGAATCAGCAATAAACCCTGACTGCTCTTCAAAACACAACCGTCGATGACCGCATTTCTTCCAGTTCCTAATGCGGCCACAAACTTCTGTCCATCTGGCTTGATAATCACAAACCTCAAAGTGTAAAATTATCTTAATATACCCTGACTACAGAAGTGAAGGACTTACGCTGCAACATGCGTCGTACGCAGACATCCTTGAGCCTGACAGACAGACTCATATTCTCTACGGACTAATGAGCAGACACTATTACACAATTTAGCAGTCTTGTCAACTCTTTGCCGTTTTGAAGTGAGAGCTTCAACAGCGCCTTCTCCATAAATATCGAACTAAAACCAACTCAAACTAATCCTCATTACGGAAAATAACTTTAAAGTTTTTAGAAAATGCTGGAAAGATGGAGTGAATAAGGTGATTGAAAAGATGCGAAATTAACAAAACGCAGATTGCTCACTTTAAACACTTCATTTAATGCTTTTTCAGCAGCCGCTCTCTTTGCAGCCTTCTTGGAACACCCAGTACCTTCAAACACCTCTCTGTGATTCAAAGTTACGGTACACTTGAACAACGGCTCTTTATTTGGCCTCTTGGCTATATTTACAGCATTAGAATATACAACGTCTGGATGCGAGTTCCGCTAAAAACCAGGTTTCTAGCAAGCTTCAAACTAAATAAAAACTTTAATTAATATTACAACGACCATGAGGAATAAAATCACACTTAAAATAAGTTGGTCAAACGACTATAATCACCAAATCTTAGCCCAAACTGTTTAACACTCAGCGCTAGTCTATTACTTTAACCTAACGTTTCCAAGAGACTGCAAAAAAACATGCGAAAAAACAGCAGGGGAAAGTATGTAGTCGACTCATAATTAAGAGATGCAATATATGAAACCAGTTCTCCGTGCAAACTTTCCTCAGGACATGAAAAAGGTCGTAGAAATTGAAAGCTTTTCAAAAGCTATGTAAAACATCAGAAAAAACTAAGTGCTAGATGAAATCAACATGTCTCAAAAGAAGAAATAAAAATAAAATTTTGAAGTTGAAAAAAGATGCATGGAAAACAATGTGAAAAAGAGTAACATAAAAAATAAACAAAAAACAATTTTACCCCAACCTGGATTTAGTTAAAACACTAAAATACAAAGTTTACCTACCAAATCACACACCCTTAAAAAAGATCGTTTTTAGCTCATATTGTAACTGCGAAAGAAAGCTCCTTATCTAAAAAAACTAAAACTCCCCTGCTAGTGAATTAATTTTAAAACGCATAACAACAATCTTGTTTATCTAGAGACTGCAAAAGAAGACAATCAAGAAAGAAACTTAGCCACGTACGTATCGTTTTTCCATAAGTGTGTGAAGAGCGAAACAAGGAGAAAGTATAATCGAGTGGTTACCAGCCCCGCCCAGGTTTTCTGGCATTTCTAAGCCAAGCTCTTCCGTAATAACTTTTACGCATAATGCATCTTTTGCCTTCTGCTTGCTATCCCGTAATGGACCAACTATAACTTCTATAACAAAACAAAGTAAAATGAAAGATCTAGAATTGAATAATTATTGCCCAACTGTAAACCTCAACAGGGAGGACTTACTAAAACGTCACAAACAATAACTGAGGTCTTCATAACATGTTACACCTTGAATCGCTAATTTTTAGCCACCTTAAACCTGTTAAAACTCTAGGAAAGAAGAACTAGACGCGGTATTGTTCAATTCCGCTTAACGGTTTCTTTAAAAAATATAAAAACGAGACACGCCGCAAAAGCAAGCTTACTCTCATTATCCAATACACACTTGGCCACGAAACTGCTGTTTGACTTCAGAGGTCCCTCATCACCAATGTCACTAACAAGACACACTGAACGGTCGTAGAAGCTGAGTGCTTGCAAGAGGACCTCAATTAGACACTATCAGCAGACAATATTCAAAAAGTAGATGTATTAAACTAATATCTCATAATTAACAAAATATGACCGACTATCTCACCCGTGTGCTGTTTGAAAAATGCACTAAAATCAAAAAATATCCATCAAACCTCACTGCAACTTTAAAGATCAAAAGAAACCGAATCCAGAACCTCGCTACTTCAAGTTAAGCCTTAATGTAACCTTGATTTTGACATTCGCTTCAAAGTTGCGAGGTAATAATGTACAATAATAATTTCCAATAAAAGCTATGCTTTTAAGTACCTCCATAGGGGGGCCGGGATGTAGTGTGATCGCAGCTCTCTCAACTTTCTTCAACTCTACAGAACTTAGTCTGAACAAGTCCAATAAAGCCTTTAATAAAATGAAATTTAAAACTGCTTTGAAAATTTGAACTATTCCAGTGAAAAACCTAAACCAAGCATTATTAAAGCCTTTGCAAAAGGAATAGGCTGAAGCATCAACTACTAGTTTTTAACTCCTTAATGGACGAGGAAATGGTGAATAGAACCTCTTTAATAACACAATTTTGTGCAGATTTTTTATTTGAACTTTCATCTGTATACTGCTTTCCTTGACCGCGCAGCGTCAGTATGCATCTAAAAATACGAGAGTGAGGAAAGCTTATTATGCTACACGATAATGTCAGCCAAACTTACATGTAACGTTTAACATTGGGTTTTGCTGAATCACAAGGAATTTGACTGTACCGAAAAACAGGTTGGAATTTCTCACCAGACGATACTTCCTTTTCCTAAAAATTATGCTCTCAATTTACCAGGTTAATTTCATTCAATAAAGCTACGGAAAACTACCAAAACAAGTGAGAAGCCTGCAAGTAAAGAGAGAATAAAAGTAAAGAATTAAAGACTGTTAACTGTAAAAAAATACAGATCTCCAGCACCACCCTTAAAAAGCCTTCTACTTATCTACTCAAAACTCCAAATTTCAAACTTACACGACACAGTCTAATAAAGTAATCGTAAAAATAGTTTGAATTGTTCAAAACGGATTTCTTCTTTTCCGGTTTCTAAAATAAAATAGTATATTTGAACTAAAAATTGAAAGTTCATAAATAAATGACTTATTCACACGTCGACCTTTCCGGCTTGCTCTGCCAGTGTGCTCATTTTTCTTTCCTCAGCTTTCTTAGGAGATGGCTGTTCTAAAGTTACACCCAAGTGCAATCCCTTCAGTGGGTCCTCAAAAGTCAGCTAAAAAGAGAACAATTACAGTCTTCAGTCAAAGTGAA